AATTTCCATTCCCGCTAAGACGGCTTACGTAGAGATCCCGGCTCCCAATGAAAATTTGGTACTCATCAGGCAAAATTTAAGCTTCAAAAGGACCTCATCGTCATTAAATAATAGAAAGCCACTGAAAAGATATACCCAACAATGTTAGTGATATGGAAAACTTTGATGCCAGGAGTTACTCAAACCCGTATTTCACTCTTTGAGGGGGAGCGTGCTCAATCAACTGCACTGCCACGCCTGACTTGCCACCACTTCTCCTACGCTACAACATGTCAACGCATTGTACAGTGGCGACAAAACAGCTGTCGGCGGTGTAATTGGCTGAAGCAAGCGTCCTTAGGAACGTGAAATGCGGGTTCGAGTGCCTACCGACGTCGAAATTTTGCACACCACTTAATATTATTGGGTATGACTGTATCATCATAACACCGCTAAAAAGCGGTTAAGTAAAAAGAATTCTTGCTTCCGAAAAGACTTCTAAAAAGATGTTTCTTGTAAGCCAACCGCTCTACGTAGCCGTCCGAACCGCCCACCAGCTGAAATTGACCTTCGTAGCAAAAGGAATGATTGAAAATAAAGACAGCCTCACCTCTTTGAACCATGTATTATTGTCAATCACAATAAGCTCATCGTTCAACACATTCCCAGCAATATTTCTCAGTTGAGCTGCTATGAGCTCTGTATTACGCAGCAAAACGTCTTTCGCTTGAGATTTCCTTTCTGTGATTTGAAGAAATAAAACAATACATAGATCCTGCAAACGTCATGTATCCAAACGAGCTCACAAACCCGTAGATCTTCCACTTGGATCACCAACTGCGGCCGTAGCGCCACCGACGATTGCAATAGGACGCAAGCCAAACTGCGAACACCTCAGCAAATTCACAAGAACTAGCAGATTACCAATATGAAGACTTTTCGATGTAGGGTCAAATCCTGCGTATACTACCGGTGGTAGTGATCTGCAAATCCGTTGGAATTATTCACTGAAGGTAGACGGATACTTCTTAGTAACCGACCGTTATCTACTTTCAATAGAAACAATCATCTCATTCTTTGAAAATTTCTCAGCCTACTTGAGGTTGGTAAGACGCATCTGACTGATCAAATCTCAAATCTATCGACTATGAAAAGATGAAGACGTCAAGATGTTGACGCTAGCCGATTATAGCCCGTAGAAATATACAAAGCCTTACCAAGTTTCTTACGTCAGAGCCAGAAGTACGTTTCGGCAGTGTTCCACGCTGTATCGTGGCCTACGTCTCCTGCTAAAAAGTAGGGCTCAATATGGGGCGTGGGCCGCTGGTGAAGCGGGCGACACTACCGAAACGTACACATGGCTCTTACTTATCAACCTCAATAAGGCTTTCTACAATCCTCACAAACTAGATTGAATGTTTATAACGAGTTTCACGAACATTCGCTGAGATGGTTAGCCGATTAGACCCTCCTACCAACCTCGTATGAGCTGAGAAACCTTAATGGAATAAGACGGACATCTAGTTCATTCACAAAAAACACATCCCTCTTTAAGATCGAAAAGACACCTTCCCTAAACCCATGCCATACCAAGCATGCCAGATAGAACTCCGCGATTTTGCCTTTCACCTTGAAAGCTTTGCAGGAATAGAACTTTTGGGGGCTAACTTTCCAGAGTGCCGATACGTGCTTACCACGCCAAATCTTTGACGGCTGTTTGCTAACACAGCGATACGTTATATAGCAGAAAGATCTGTACTAGAACAGGAACCCACGTAGTTCAATAGGTTGACACGCGCTCCCGGAAAAGACGAGATTCGGGTACAGTTCTCGTGCGAGGTCTTATGATCATACAATCATACTGCTGCTAAAAGCAGTTAAAAAAAAGAATTCTTGTTGATTACATAGGACTAACTCACTTCAACTCTGCTGCAAATTCAGTGTCAAGTTTTGACGGGTATGTGGAACGTATGAGGCCACGTGTCCTTAACTCGGCGATATAATTGGCTATTGAAGAACACCACCTGAAATACTATACGACTTGTAAGACTCACGTCGATTACATCAACAACAATCTAAAGAATAAGGAATTCCCTAAATTCCACTTCTTCTAGGGAAAGGTCGGTTTAAATGAGGATTGAGCTCTCGAGGTTTCTCAAGCTGCTGTAAGCGCAGGTAAGGGGGATTGCTTACTCAAAGCGCGGGCGTCTTCGTTCTGATGACAGCTTGCACATAACGTGGCATCTAGCCATCCTCCCTTGCTCTACTCCAAAAGCGACAGTGCTTCGCAAAGCCAAACGAAACAACGATTTGGGGCTAGCTTTTGAACAATTAAAGCTCCCATAACCAATCAATGACTGAGGGATAAGTCGCGCATTCGACCGTACCAAGCATAGTTTAAGGCGACTTGAATGCATATCTGGCCTTTATTATGACTCGCTGAAGTCTACCGATGCATCAACTCAGTGTTGCTACCCATCCAGACAAGTTTGGGACCAATATGCAAACCCCAGACGGATGAAAAGGTTGGTTAGCCTCGGGCGAGGGATTGCACCATTAACCACGTGTGGGTCTCAGGGCAGTTCTAACAATTACGGAACACCACCTGTCTTAACAAACTTTCACATATGTGCGGCCATTTTTCAAATGCCGCTTCGATGTCCACAGACTAATTTGAATACACTGAGTCAACCGAACAGAAACTCACTAGAAATGTTGGTGTGGGAGAAACGAAAAAAGGGAAAAAAGAAACGATTCTTTCATGCTAGGAGGCGACAAATGAAGATTCGATGCCATTCGCTGGATGAGATTCTTCATAAGAGTGGTATTAACGAAAGCCTAAAAGTCTGATTAATGCAGTACGTAGCCGCTTTTCGAGAAAACGATTGTATAACGCTCTGGCAAAAGGAAAACATTTGGGCTTCACACAGGCATTTTTCACGTAAGGCAAAGCTCTTTCTTTGAACTATTAGTAATCATTCGATAGCGTAAGATTCGACGATTCCAGAGCTCTGCCTTGTCTGTGGAAAGACCGCTTCTCCGCAGTGCAGCAAGGAAAATAAGATGGAGTTTCACATAGGCGAGCACGTGTTTCATGACTAATCAATGGGGGATGGGCGGGCAGTATGGGGGTGTGGCTTCAACACGGCCATCGATCGACGGCGCCGATGCGTTACACACGTGAAAAGCGATTTTTGTCATTCAATTAAAAATTTTCTTCCTCGCCTCGGAAGAAACTCCAGATTGAACGAGTGACTTTGATACTAGAAGATTTTCTTCAGACGTTCATGTGCTTTTTATGCTCCTTTAGAAGAAATAGTTCAATTGCTCCGCCGATGTGAAACATAATTTCATTTTGAATGCTAGATCGTCATAAAAAAAAGCTTCTAAAAAACCGGCCACGTAGCGCTCTAGCCAGAGATTCATGCTTCCGAATGATTACCAACACTCTTGTGAAGAGCTCTTGACCAGCAAAATCGACCGGTTTTTCATTTGCTGCCGTCTAACAAGAAGAAACCAAAGAAGTTATAAAGAAAAAGAAAGGATAAAACGGTACTGCAAACGTTTCCTTAAGGGGAAAAGAAAGAAAAATCCTCGTTCAAAATGCCTGTGAAGAAAGAAGGAGCCATCGATCAATAGCAACAACCCCTATGACTACTACAAGTACTCTCGCTTGATACTTGGACAGCCCGTCTTCACTGGTCGAAGCGAGTCCGACCAGATGGTGGAAATTCTGCTGGTTTAGCTGTTCTGTTCCCTAAAGACCAGAGGTAACCCTAGTCAAGGCTTCCCCGACCGTGATCATAATAGAGTCATCGTCGGCCCTTGTTGGTCAGAGGGGACTACCACCTTGAGACTAGTAGCTACCAAGACGGTGGTCATTCCTGATAGGGTTTACTCTTAGCTGGGTGGCAACGTCGACCTCCTTCTCAGCTTGGATGGCTCTGCTGGGCATTGAAACCCCGCCATGCTGCGCAGTCCGACACCCCGAAACTGACCTCTCAGCCACGATGAGCTGGCAGACCATTTGCGGGGTCTGCAACTATTCCCACTACTATTATCAACGCCGTGCCGGCTAAACGAAGAAATTCCTTTGATTTATTTAATTAAGCGCACCTACCTCAATCCATAACAACGCAGAAATGGCGACGATAACCGGCCAATGGCTATGATCGCTGGCATTTTTCTTCGACTAGGAAAAAGTCGTAGGGTCAGAATTCGCATGATTCAACAGGAATGAGACCATATCACTGGCTAGAGGGCTTGCGACCACATCTAAACAACCAGCGACTCCAGCGCGAAAAAACCTGCCCCAGCGAAGTTCAGAGCGACAATGCTAATAAAGCCGCGCCGCAGACGCTCTGCTGCCGAAGGAAACCCATAGCGCAAGCAAATGTTGATTGGGTCGCGCTAACTACAATGGATCCATGATTTCTTTTTTTTTTGTATTACTTCGTATTTCTTTTGCTCTCCGCATCGTTTCTCTCCTTTCTCTCTCTCTGACTGCTATTTCTTATTTTTCCTTCTATTTTCCGTCCAATGATATGGACTAGGAGCAGAGTAGGAGCGCACGTGGCGCAATGGTTAGAGGTGCTTTGCGTCGCACTCTAGGTCACTGGCTGGATCTCGCGCTCATGGCTCACCAAGCCATCAATCCCTCCGGGGCTGGTAAATTGGTACCAGACTGGTCTTAGACTTGTCTGGAAGGATAAGCAGCACTGACTCGGTTCAGCAGGAGGCCACCACGAGTCATTGTAAAGGCCAGATATGCATTTAATCACCTCAAACGAAGTTAGAAATTGAAGACGAATGCATGGCGCATCCCTCATGGATTGATCAACGCCGAGAGCTTTATCCTTTATTTTTATTTAATGTGAAGTGCTGTGAAAAAACATTTGCGTCAGTCGGGAATCGAACCCAGATCTCACGCTTTCCGTCTTCACTCTCCCCGCCAGACCGTCGACGGTTGGTTGTTGCCAGACAACGCGTTATGGCGTAAATAAGAGTGCTGTGCAGAACCTGCGTCGATGGTGCAACAGTTAGCGTAAGCTCCCCGAGAGAGTGAGATCTGGTTTCGAATCCCGGCTGATGCAAATGTTTTTGCACGGCACTCCATATCATTGGGTATTCTATAACATTATACTACCACAAGAAGCGGTTAAATAAAAAGGATTCTGACTGATTATCGATATTTTCCGTCCCTTTTTTTTTCTTTTTCCTTACCAGTTTGGTCCTTTCTGATTATCAGAGAACGAATGAAAAACTGATCTGATTCGCTGGAGAACTTTTCATTGGAATGTTAGTATCCATTCGAAATCTGGGACTTCAGGCTACAATCACATGTCGCCGGATTTCGAAAAAGCCGCGAATTAGACCGGTTCCTTCATTTGTTTCCTGATAATCAGAAAGAACCCCGATTTTCTTCTTATTTCGTAGTCTTTTTCCTAATCTAAATGTGAAGCGCATCTTGTATTAACGAGAGTATCTAGTAGTCTCTCTCTCCCTCTCGTGCTTTTGATCTCTTTTCTTAAAACAGACAGTCCACCAAAAATGGGTGATGACGACGTTGAGAAGGTTGTCGAGGAGCTGCTTGATCGCGCCTCATCCAGTTATGACTGTGTCGAACAAGAGGTGAGATCTACGTCATGGGAAAAAATGTGTATCAAGAGTTGTATACCTTTGATGAGCGCGTGTGGCGCAGTGGTTAGAGGTGCCCTGCGTCGCACACGAGGTCAATGGTTCGATCTCGCGCTCATGGCTCACCAAGCCATCCATCCCTGCGGTGTGGGTAAATTGGTACCAGGCAGGTCTCAGACTTGTCTGGGAGGATAAGCAGCACTGACTCGGTTCAGTGGGAGCCCACCGCGAGTCATTGTAAAGGCCATATATGCATTCAATCACCTCAAACGAAGTAAGAAATTGAAGTCGAATGCATGTCGCATCCCTCAGAGATTGATCAACGCCGAGAGCTTTATCCTTTTTATTTTTATACCTTTGATTGGGGACCTCGTTGACCGAGTGGCTAATGATGCTCGCGGCGGCGTGGCGAGGGTTATCCGAGGCCCACCCCCGGCACTCCACCAGTCAGTAACAGAGGCCCGACCTGGCCATCCCCGAGATTGCAAGGAAACGTGCTCAACCAGTATTCTACCACATTCATGAAGAGGACATATCCTCAATGAAGCGTTGAACGCGAGGAAGCTAGTTAACCCTTTCGGGACCATAGACCCAGCCCTCTGCGTCTCTAACCCCAGCGTGTTGCGTATTACAGTGGAGCGTATTGCGTATTACAGTGGCGCGTTTAAATTAGCGACCTATTGCTAGACGCAGCACGCTGGGTTTAGAGACGCAGACTTTTGGGTCCATGGTCCCGAAAGGGTTAGATACCAGAAGTGGTGTGATCTACGTATACGCGCATTGAAAAAATGCTGTGATAGGGAAAAGAGAGAAAAATACGCCTTGATTAGTACGAAACAGTGCTGTTGTTTCGAATATGTTTATATTCCCAGTACATAGAAGTTTAGGTGGACGATGATGTGAAAGAAGCCGTCGACGCACTACTCGATCAGACAACAATTTGGGATGATCCGTCGAAAATCGAGGTAGATTTCTATGGGGTTTCTCCTACCTCAACTGTCTTCTCTTTCCTTTTATCCTTTTTTGCTTCCTCTTTCTTTCTTGTTGGTTTTCCATGACTTTTGTATTCGGCCAATCTTCTTTCCATCCACGTCCCCTGTTTTATTACGATCAATTTAGTTGGATTTTTACTCGCTGGATTATCGAAGAGTGCCTTCTATTGCGTCAGCTTCTTCCAACGCTGGTGACAGTGAGTTCGGTGATCTCAGCGAAGGCGAGCTGCCAGTTCTGGCTAGCGATGAGGATTCCGACACGGAGTTTCAAAAGTATGTTCGACATATCTGCTGAAATTCTTCTTATTAGCTTATTACATAAGTTTTGGCGCTCAATTAGTAAACACCAAAATTACTGACTAAGACTTGTTAAACTTACATGATTTTGGTACCGATCAATTGCGCATTTTCTTGCGAATATCTTGGTATACAACCTCTATATACGTGGCTCAAGGTGGGATTGTCGTGGGACCAAATTCGGTTGATGCTCACGCATGAATGGCTCGCAGTTGAAAATGCTAGTGAAGTGGGGAGCAAGACTAGCGGAGCTTGGTGCGATGGTACGGGCAGCAAGACGGCTAGGAAGTGGTTCGCGAAGTTCAAAGCTGGAGAGAACATTTTATCAGTTGTGTTTGGGTCCTCCTCAGGAAGCTCCATTGATCTAGCGCGCCACTTCATTAACGTTTTTCCCTAAGCGCCATTCGTCCATGACTAGCAAGCGAATTTGTTCCAATACAGCTCCATCTTGAGGCAATATAGGTAGGTTGTATAACAAAATGTCCACAGGGAAATGCACCAATTAACGGTGCCAAAATCAAATTGAATTTTCTTTTATTTAACCGCTTTTAGCGTTAGTATGATGTTGGAGATTTCCTCAGTGATGTAGAGTGATGTGCAAAACTTTCGCATCTGTTGGGACTCAAACGCGCATTTCAACTCTGTCCGGGAACGCGTGCTCTAATCCGTTGAACTACTGACGCCAGTTTTTCGATGTAGGTGCGTAGTAGCGTAGAAAGAGTGGTGAGCAAAACGGGCGTGAGAAATGCAAGGGGTTAGAGCAAGCGTTCCCGGATAGAATGAGATGTGGATTCGAGTCCTGCCTGATGCGAAAGTATTGCCATCACTGGATACCAGAATCATACAATCTTCATACATCTTTTTGATAAATTTGATGTTTATTACTTTAGTTCCAAAATCTATGAAACAATCCAGTGTTTTAGTGCTTTTATAGCGGTATTATGATGTTGCAGGCACATCTATGAATGCTGAGTGATATGCACAGCGTTAAACATTGGGCGAAAGTTGAACCCTACTCAGCCTTCCTGGGGCGTACGAATATAATTATTCGTAACTTTCTTCATTTTCTTTCTCATCACTCACTTCCGGATATATACGTGATGGGGAGACAAATAGTGATGACGGTACAGAAGTCACAGTGGTGCAGTGGTTAGGAGACGCCTACGGAAATAGTGAGACACGGGTTCAACTCCCGCCTGCGGTTGCAAATTCTGCAAGTCATTCAACATTCCTGAATTATACAAATATGAGTAGCACCTCGTCGTAGTGCACTTTGCGTGCATTGTTTAAACTTATAAATCCTGACATGCACTGAGTGCAATGTGCTTGGCGGGAAAAGATGGCCGCATCGAGTTCGTATGATCAAATCTCGATTTATATATAGAATTATTGGTTAGGACCTAAAGACCTTTCCAGGAACGTGTAATTTTTTTTTCTAATGAGTATAAAAGAAGAAATTCCGATTTTTTCGAGGCTATGGCGATCATTTTTCTCCCATTGAGTTGCTCTCTGGCTTTTTTTTTGTTGAACTTGAAAGCTGTCAAACTGCGGAGTTCTATAGAGTAAAACAAGTATAGATGAGCCAGTGTGTAGTTTATCTCTGCACACTGCTCTTGCTTGAGAATTTTAGACTCGAAGTTCTTTCCTAGTTTTTTCTAAATTTCAGTTCTAACCCTTTCGGGACCGTGGACCCGCCTCCTTTGCGTTTCTAACCCCAGCGTGGCAACGATAGGCGGTCTGCTCAACCTCTTCTGCATCTTTAACCCCAACTTGGGAAAGCACTAGATGTACTATTGTGTTATCTCAATTGTATTATTGCTAATATCTTCCTATGCTATGTTATATGTGAAAATATTATTTTGAAAGCTCTAAAAGGCTCTCAGCGTTGATCAAATCTTGAGGGATGCGTCATGCATTCGTCTTCAATTTTTAACTTCGTTTGAGGTGATTGAATGCATATCTGGCCTTTACAGTGACTCGCGGTGGCCTCCCCTTGAACCGAGTCAATGCTGCTTTCTTCCCAGACAAGTCTGGACCTGTCTGGTACCAATTTACCGACCCCGGAGGGATGGATGGCTTGGTGAGCCATGAGCGTGAGATCGAATCAGTTACCTCGTGTGCGACGCAGGGCACTTCTAACCACTGCGCCACATGCGCTCTTATCACCGTCAATGTTAATTATGTTATAAATAGAAAAATAGCAATAGTAATATAACTGGAATAATAAAAATGTACATTCAATGCGTTTCCACGTTGGAAGTTGGAAATGCAGAGGTGAGTCCGTGGTCCCGAAAAGGCTCAATAATTTGAATTTATATTGACGTATGATATTGTTCAAAAAATATACCTAGTGATAAAACAATGCTCCTTCTATAAATCGGTCTAGTTTACAGCTCCTTAGATAGTCCAGTAATCGTAAAATCGCTGTCAGTAGTTGAAAAACCACCTTGAATGATGTTATTGAGCTAATTAGTTCCTATAAATCTTTGTTGTTTATTCCAATCTTTAAGTTGCACAAAGTGTCTGAAAATGCCTAAGCAATTTGGAATAAATGGTTCCAAAAAGTTGATGCAAAGGGCCATGTGTGTGTGTGGAAAACAACACACGGCGTTTTGAAATGTTTGAATTAGTGCCACATGTCGCTTATTCTGTCAGTTTCAGGTTGCAACATTTCACTTATAAAACACGGAATAGCACATTCAAACGCGAACATTCAGTTGGAATCCCATCGCAGAAGATGCCAAAACTCGAATGTCAAGTAGATACCAGTGATCTCTATCATGAGTATGTTCTTTTTTGAGTGGTTTCCTTGATTCTAAATCACTTCTCAGTCATTCCTCAATTTTTGTTTGAATCAGAACACAGTTAATACGTTGACAACAATATGAGCTGTTATTAGCTCATATCTCACGCTGCGTATGCTGCGGCGCGGCGCGGCGAAGTCTTTAGCATCGCGCTTTGCAATGAAAATATGGGAATTTGTCTGGTAACGTGAGGTACTGAGCGGATATTATCGTGCCAAATGATGAAATATGCAGAAAAGACTTATATAAAAAGTTGAACAGTTAGGAAAATTCCCTTCTATCGAAAAATTTTCTATGTTTCATCGAGAAGAGCGCATTGTTGTGAAAGCGAACATATTTCCAGCTGTTATGCAACTTCGTTTC